AGAGAAACCTACTGATAATGAAGTGATGATAACACTGTGTGCGTTCTCTGGGCTAATGTCGAGTGCGCGTTGGAAGGATCTATCGTGAAAAGCCGCAAAGTAAACAAAGGATGATATAGTGAAGCAAAATGCAACGAAGCAATGAAAGACCACAGTGAGCCAAATATATAGCCTACTCGGTCAAAGTCTTTATTTAAGTTGAGGTAGTACATATAATGGAGTGGGACAGTAACAATAGTTCCTATCTGCCAAATTGGACCAGCCTCGACTTTGCATGTCTGCCATGAAGATCGGTAAAAATGCCGATGGAGACAAGTGGGGAATTGCTGCGTAGTTGCCATCATTTCCATACCCGATATGAATGTATAGCCTTCTTGCTGTAACTGTTTTTACAGGATTATTCATTTTCGAACGACTCGTAGGGTTCGAGTAATTGGGAGTACGCGTTTACCATCGGAAATACTGACCTCAGCGGATGCCCAATTTGAACTCTGAGGTTTTTTGACGGTGATCAATACCGTTTCTGAGATGCACCTCTGCATTTAACTTCTACTCCGAATCGTGGACCATTCAATAACTTGATGTGCCCAGACAATGTATAGGTTAGTGCTTTAATCCTCACAGAGGAATGGTATCAGTTAATCGACCCGAAGGGACGCTTAGCTAGACGCTTTTTCCAAGTCCTAGATATGAAAAGCTTGGTTGTCCACTGTCCGGGTGTCGAGCTTCAGATCCGCGAACCGCGCCTCTGATATTGCACCACATTATATCATCGTCTAAGCTCGAAAGTTTTTGAATGAAGCCCAACAAGTTGATGTCGAAGCAGGTGCCTTGTGCAAGCCTCAATTTCAAGCATGTTGCACTTCTCGAACCATACAACCTAAATTTTTCAACGAACTCTTCATTCATTCGACGTTCTGCCCCAGTGAATACTCCTCTGTGAGCCAACTAAGACGAAAGCACCGAAACATCAGCCAAATGGATTCTTTGTTGGAATCCCGTTCATCTAGATCAAGAAGTGAAATGTACATTCGAGTGAAAATGCCGAGATCCACTGGTGATGACATTTGGACACCTAACATTTAAGACTCCTATCATTTGGACTCAGTATATACGATATTATATTGAATTCCTTCTGGCTTGAACATTTAAAGGTACAGCTCCCGTCAATTTTGAGGTCCCCCTTTCAAGTATAATGTATCGTTGGTGAAAAAAAGAAAAAACAGGCAGAATTCGTGAAGTAAAAGGCTTCTAAAAAGTAGTTGAAGTGGGGGTTGGGCGAGATTGACCTGAAGAAAATGCTGTAGAATGGGTATTTGGGAGTTGCAATACATAAAGAGCTGACCACGTTGAGCCAAAAAATGTCCAAATTTGTCTTCCACAGTTGCCATGGGTCAAGACTGGTTGTTCAAATTTTCAAGGGATGTTCCTTGTGAATGGTGCAGTCGTTGAAGCTCATCCGTCTCTGGGTGTGGCACACAGTGGATACAACCTTGTAGTCATTATTACGCTTCATCTAGGTCGTTTTCCGATTCAACAGCGGTACGTATGACATACTTGGACCTCACAGATTCATTCTAGGAGGGTACCTCGGGAACTATTAGGTCGTGAAGAAAGTTCTTGCGGTTTTGCGCCTCAAACTTCAAATGCATATATCTCGGCTTGAACGAAACTTCATCAATCGAAATAACAACCATTACTATCGACACACTTTTGTTAACGAAAAACAAGTTCGAGTATCCCATTCGCATAGAAGTCCGGAAATCTAGAGGCGATGAAATCGTCG